CGTTTAAAATGTATGGTGCTGTGATTGAACAGGGTAAATGGTACGGAGTACGGGGTACGGGGTACGGGTTATGGGGTACAGGGTACTTGAATTAGGAATAAGCATGGACAGTTTTTTTTTTTTTTATATATTTACACTAATGAGAGGCATCTGCCACCCACGTTACGGTACCGGCGCGATCTGTATCCGGGTGTACACCCTTTCCCGTACCGCGGGGTCCTAAAATGAGACCTTTCTAGGACAATTCACTCTCTTACAAATCAGTTACATCTGATGCGCGTAACATAGTTGTTTTTGTCTGTTTTGCACGTATCGCTCGCGTTACTGTGAATGTAGGTCAAACCGCTGGGGTAACTCCAAAGGGATGATTCCCTATTGTACACATATGAAATAGCAGACGACGTCATGGAAATCTAAACTTTATATGATAATAATATATGTGATCTAAAGGCAACTCAACACTATTATATAGCTTAATTATCCCTCTTACTTCTACATATTTTGTATATATTTTAGACATGGTTTCGTTGTTCAGAATTTCCCTTCGTAATTTTCTCTTCATTACACCATTACCTCCTATGGAACGTGGACTATCTTCTCTTTGAAATGACGTTTCATTCTGATTTTGCTCTTTCCAAGGCAGCAGCCACCGGTGTTATTTGAATAACTTCACTGTCACGAGTGGGATTTTCGTCTACCATGTCAGTATTTATATCAATTCGAAGAGATCTTGGAATATCTTTCTGGTGATAGGATCTCCAGTGTTCCAGTTCGGACTTTAACCGGAGCCAATCGTACTGATGTGATCTATCTCTCTACCACCTATTTTATACACTATTCATTCCCTATGTGTCTCGACCTTTTTAGGGAGTGTAATAACACAGCTCAGGGGGATAACCATCTGGTGCCGCAAAAGTGCCGCAAGTGCCGCATGACAGCAAATCAGCTCCTTCTCCTCCTCCTCCTCCTCCTTTTCCTGAAGCTTTTTGACTACTATAGTTAACAATGTGACTGCTACTTTCTAAAGTAAGTAATTTATTTTGTAATTTCCAATTTAAGCACTTTTAAATCAAGGTGATAATGGTATTGTGACACTAAATATTCTACAAGTTGAATAAAAGAATGAGATTTTTGAGATATTTGTAGATTTTTCCAAAGACGATTTTTTAACACATTTTTTTTAGATCTATTGGAATATTCGATTTTCCCACTGTATACCCTACAATACCCCACGCCAAACTTTTGGACATCTTCTTTCTCCGACATGTATTATGATATCTTTCTGTTCAAAGAAAGGCGAACAACAATATCAATGAAAATATGAAACCAAACAAACACAGCAGCTAAGTAAAGCCCTACTTCAAGTTATCATTGGTAGAAACTCTTGTTGCTTACAAAAGATGTTAATGTGCAAGGTCATTTCTCTGTGCTATTTATAGCAGCGAATGTAACCATGAATCGCCTTTTCAGTCGAAGCTTAGCTTATTATCGCATTTTGGCCAAACGATGGTAAATTGTAATGTATAATTGTAGGTTCGATACTAGTATTGTTAAATTAACTAAATAGTTTAATTAATGTTAATTGGTACACCGGTAATTAACTTCATGTAAGTTCATAATCGATATTGAGTAAAAAATGCATAAAAACACACGTCTATTCACAGCATGTGTCCCAACATATGTCGTCTGCTAGATGGGAGTGGTCAGGATGCTTAACATTACGCTAGTAACACACCACTGCACATTCACTCGCTGTAAACACGTTCTCGCTTGAAAAAATATATATACTGTAATAGTAAGATCTTTCGAATATAATCATTGATTCTTTGCAATTAGTCTGTAATGATGGATAGACTATAAATTGCAGTATATGTGGAGTGGTACTTTGATATACTGTGTATCGATCAAGTTGACCAACTTGAAGCCTTTACCATGTAATATAAAAAAGCGAGCTGATAAGCTGAGTCGGGATAAAATATCTTATTTCAAAAGTCCCCACACCACACACCAACACGTCCCTCAAAGTGGACAGTGTGTAATAGCCGACAGTGGGTATTAGGTACACGCCGACAAGGTACATCAACTTCAAACTATACAACCTCATACCCTCTTTCATACCATCAATATACCACACCGATGATTACCGTATTCTTAAAAATTACCCGACGTTACTCGAGATTATACAACACAATCTAACATTTTTAAACCAATAGGCTGTATAAGTGTGTCGTCACTTGTCTACCTGTGCTGAATGACAAGTTCGACTCTAAACCACAACATGCATGTGCAACTACAGTCACACCATATCACTTCGCTCAAACTACGGAATTTCATTTATCAATATTTTGCCAATACCGATCAACTTCCTTAACATTTGATCAATGTTCACTTCATCTCCATATCTGCCAGTCTCCTAAAATTCAATAACTAAAATCTTCGAGCGTAAAAGCAATCTTGTAAACAAACAGAAAAAAATGAACACCCGGATTCAAATAATTTTTTTTTAAAGGAAATTAACGTTTAATTCACTACCTTGGCTAGCGGATATGTTACTAAATTGCTAGTGAAAATATTTGGGAGCAAAAAATGTCATTTATATAAATATTTTCAATGAATGTTTGCACATTTTTTATTTTTTTTTATGAAGTTAACGAATAGTTAATTGAGGCATCACGAATGAAGATGTATTTTAAAATAAACATACATTTGCCTACTATTCAATTAAACATATAGATAAATGAAGAAAATTAACAAGAATGTCATGCGGCCTTATGTTAACGGGATCCGAAAAGAGACGATAGGAACAAAGCAATTTGTTTATTGATTTTGTTTCCATATAAGTGATATTATGTAAAATTTTAAAGTGTGTTGTCTATTTCATCCAACGACCAGCATAAGTCATTGAAATCCACCATCAGACTCTTCGCGGATGACACCAAAGCCAATCTCACCATTTCATCAGAGGACATCGGTTAGAACCTACAAAAGGACCTCGGCAAGCTGACCAAAGGGAACGGTTTTTATTGTATGGTGTATGAAATTTCATCCTGACAAGTGTAACATCCTTAGACCCCCTATCTATGTGTCACCATATCCAACAACCTTGTATGGGACACCCACATTAAGTAGATAACAGGGAGGGCGAACAGAACCCTGGGCTTTCTACGAAGATATCTGAAGATTATATATACCCAGATCAAGATACAAACATACAACGGCCTTGTCAGACATTTGCTGGAATATGCATCATCCGTATTGGACCCGCACAACCAGCACAACATAAACAGCATTGAACGCATCCAAAGAAAAAGCTACGAGGTATGTCACGAACCGTTATCGGATAACGCCCAGCGCCATCTACAAGAAAGGAGGAAGGAAGCTAGACTATTGATGTTATACAAGATAGACAGAGGTATGGTTGCCATCTGTAAAAAACAGACTGCTACCACTAACATGACTTGCCAGGAACACCAATACTAGATCCTTCCAACTCCTTACCTGCAGGACTGATTCAAGAAAGATGTCTTTCACTCTCGGCCTCTGAAACCCTTAAAGCTTCTCTTATTCTGTTTTTTTTCCTACAAACTTATTTTAACTGTGCCAGTCCTGTCACATGTGCAATCGCCACACATTGCAGAAGCATCAACCTGTTGGTGGCGGCAATAACTGGGAGAAGATAAAGAACATGTTGGTGAAATCTACCCCTTTGAAATTGTAAAACTTCCTCTTTTGTATTCAGAAAGAACTTAGCATTCCACAAATGTATGTGCTTATAAACAACACCATACAAAAGAGAGTCACCAGAAATTCGCTTACATTATGTCTTTCACATGATCCATGTTTTAACCGCCGCATTCCTTAAGAAAACTGAGCTGACAACCCAAACTAATAGACATATGAAACCCGGAACCTAAACAGATGGCGTGATATGTTCAGATAAATTTAGCATTCATGACATCTTATACTAATAGTTAATATTTCACTTTTAGATACATCCAATCAATTTGTCTAATTTACCAACAGTGTCTATGACAACGTATTCATGCGTACTACATACCTACATGCTCATATGAAATACCTTTCAGATTCAACGATGATTTTCCATAGATTGCGGTAACAAAATTTAAAACGCAAGTAATAAATGTACGACGGGTGTGAATTTTGCAAATAGGCAACTATTAAACGTGGTCAGTCTAGCTTTCAAATATATAGTCAATTGTATGTTAGATAAGAGAATACAAATGTAAAAAATGCGCAAACCTTTATGGCTATTTGTCCTATTGTTGCTTTTTGTTGCTACGTTCCATGGTTTTCAAAGTTTAGTTACAGTCTACTCTATTATTATGTTGATCTACACAAAATAGTGTTAGAAATGTATTAAGGAGAAACGGTAGTCTAGTGATAGGACGCCGGGCTCGTGACCGAAGGGTTGCGGTTTCGAGTCACGGCACAGCACTGTGTTGTTTCTTTAAGCAAGATACTTTACTTCGCTTGTTCCAATCTACTCAGCTATTAAAGAGTGCGTGGTTAGGCAGTGCTAGATTTGTAGAATGCTAGCTGTGAGCGCCGAAATGGCAGCACCGGGTGCTATCCAGGAAGTTGAGAAAGATATTGGCGGGTTGCAAAGAGCTTATAACTACGGATCATAATTTGTGAACCGCTTTGAGACGACCTAGGCTATTATAAAGCGGTATATACGAACCTCGAATTATTATTATTATTAAGGGATTTCCTAGTGTTACATAATAAAGCCTGCACGCTATCCATGGCGAGGTAGCTAGAACGTCATCTTAAAAAGTGTGAATACAGGTATATTTTGGTCACGAGTTGTTTTCCTCGGGTTTACAATAAATTTACAACAAAATCAAGACAACAAACGCAATCCGATTCCCCCATTTCATGCATTTCTTCTAAATGAGATCATAAAGCTAGAGTATCATTTTGTCGTCCGCGTCACTACACACACACGATCGGTTAGTTATACAATGCATCCGTGTCAACGCTGTTGCACGAACTGTTATGTTCAGGGACTGCCAGTTATACGTTGTAGTCGGATGAAGATGGAGCTTGGCTCAAACTGGAAGTATTGTCTAAATATATCTACATAAGTATAACCATAATTTTATAAAAAACAGAATGAAGAAAAATATGAAGTACATTTAAAAAGTGTGACATGACATCATCTTATTCGTATGCTGTTAAGGCAGGAATAAACAGAACGTAATACTTTTAATTCGTCGAGTGTTGAAGAAATATGGAAAATGAATAGTCGATCGAGGATAAATATAATGCGATTAGCTGTAATTGAGCTTGTTGCAAGTAAGCAATGTATGTTTGTGATAACTGAAATGAATTCATTCTATATGCGAATGTGTATAAAATTATTCATATTTTATTTAAAAGACAAGATATATTTACATGTTTATATGAAATGAAAATTCGATTATGTTTTCTCTTCTTGTTTGTAGAAAAAGAAGGTAACAATTCCTACCGAAATGTTTATTCTATTCGGTGTGCTCCCTCTACTACTGCGTCTGGTGATTATCTCAAGTGGTGAGTGCGGCTCTTCCAGATACTTTGTAACGAGCAGAGACAGAAACACGAATGCTGCAAATCCGTTTCTACCGAGTAACATACATAAGGAGAGTAATATAACACGAGTTTATACCTTTGTTCACTAAATATTTGAAAAAGCGAGCAGCAAAAAAGGGTATATCGGTATATACTGACATTGAAATAGGTATCTACTGTGTTAAATCGAGGTCTGATAGTGTGTAAGAAATATTGATTACTTATGAAACTAAATAGATACATGTATACCATATTTTAATCTGTTACTGATAAATCACTATCTTTAGTGAGATTACTTCGATAAACAGATTTTGATAAGGATTTGTTATAAGTTTGGAATATAACTTGATCATGTACACTTTATTAATATAACTTGTAATGTATTTTTTTTATAAATATCGGTAAAGCTTTATCTTAACTAGATAAGATATTTATTAAAATTAAACATCAAAATGTAACAGTCATTTAATATGTTATGATACATAATTCAATTTTACACAGGTGTGCAGTCACAGAATGTCACGTGTCAGCAGGGTTGGACAGGTTATGGAAGTCACTGTTACTGGTCACAACCAGGCCTAAAAAAATCATGGGAATATGCACAGGTAAAAACTATAACGAGTATGGTTAGTATCACATTTGATAACAGGAGGTATATATTTCATAATGCATATCTGTATTCAATATTTTTGATGCTGGGTACAGCATTCATTGCTGTCCTCGCCAAACCTTGGCAAATCAAAACCAAACAACAGATTTTCCTCTTCCGCGGAAGATCTTTAAATGCTGTGTTGATAATCGATTAATGGTATGATCAATGCTATAAAACGATGAAATACATATGAAAACGATCTATAAAACAAAGAAAAAATGTTAAAATTTTACAAAAAGAAGAGTTTTTTTTCAGTGAGCATTATGAACTATATCAATCTCAAATTACTACGCTTTTTGGACCGAATAATTTCTTCACAAACAAATCGAACAGCACTTTATCTCCTTCCGCGAAGATCTTTAGATAATGTGTTCATTATTTCATGATATGATCAATGCTATAATATGGTAAAATATATCTGTATAAGACAAACAAAATCAAAGAAATTATGTAAAGATCTTTCACAGTAGCGTTTTTAATCAGTGAAAGTTCCGAACTATATTTGGCTCAAATTACTACGCCTCGTATTCCAATAGTGTGTGTGTAAGAGTTTCTTCCCCTTTCCATCATTGCGTAGTTTCATGCTCGCGATTGGTTAAACGACTGTTTGATAACTGTCCTTGATAAAGTAGGCTTCGTGTTTTCTTTGTATCAATGGAAAGTCTCCAAGTGAAAGAAAATCCTCGTTACAGAATGTAGACTTATGCTTAAGAAGCCGTCAGCAGCTGTGCATAACGAGTTTATAGATAGCTTCCCAATGCGACAGCAGCTGTGCCTAACGAGTTTGTAGATAGCTTCCCAATACAGTCTCTAGATAATGGCCAGATTAGTATAATGCAAGTGCTTCGTGAATATAGCATATTGAACATCAAAAATTAAAACCGTATATACATATTATTCACATTAACCAGAAACTGATTAATCATATAGGTCTTTAACCTTCGTTACACTATCGAGAGATGGAGAGATACACAAGGGACTTGCATAAGTCCGTGATAACGCGCACTGAAAATAAAACAATCTCGTTTTTATTTTTTGTAGAATTAATCATGATAATAACAAATTGTAATAATAATATCATAATTATTTATTTGTATTATCTATATAACATGTATTTATTTATTTTTATTTAATCGTAAACCCTTATATGGCTCCGTAACAATGCAGTCATTAAGGACCATAATATCAGACAAGTTTCAATTTCTGGGCTTTTGGGTCAAGGTCATCGTTACTTATTTTTATCCCCCGATTTCACCTGTCCGTTTGTCTGTCTGCATGTCTGTCACGCTTAGGTTCCGTGTAATAACTACAACAAATGTTAACCAATTTTCTTTAAACGTGGTCACAGGGTTAAATGCCTAAAGGGCTCGACAAAGTTCGATGACCACTTTCAGCGGACCCCATTTGGCGGAGTTATGACCCCGTGAATAATGAAAAACGTCATTATCTGCTGTTTCTGTTCATTAAATCTCGCAAATATTATTCGATTTTCTTCAAACTTAGTAACAGGGTTCAACTCATTAAGGGTCGGCCAAGTTTGACAACCACCTTAATTGCACTCCATTTGGCTGAGTCATTATCTGCAGTTTCCGCTTAATAACTAGCAAATATTAGGTAACGCTTTTTTTCTTCAAATGTTAATAAGCTATACATTATGTATCAACCTGACCTCAATAATGTTTACCTACAATATGTCTTGAATGTGGAGGATATAAATCCCACGAATTTGCTTGTTATACTGCTAATGGTAGCCAGTAAGGAACCTATATTGTTTTAGCAATACCTTGCTTGTTATATATATATTTACTGAAAATTATGATTAAGGGATGGGCTATTATGACCCTTACTCAACAACATGTTCTTTATTATTTACTGCCATTCTGTACAGATATACCACCTCCTTTATTCCATTATTTGAATCCTTTGTACACAGCATCCCTTAGTGCCCTCGGCACTTTGATTATATTTAAAATACTGCAACCATATTGATATTAACCAACGGATTAAGCTAGATTAACTTCCTGGAAGGAACATATTCAGTACTTTGTAAAGTTGGCCTTGTGACATTTCAATACGAACGTCGTTCTAAAGAAGCATATTTTAAGTAAAATTATTATATAAGATATTAGCGGAATTGTGTGTCAGCTTCAAGTAGTGATCAAACTTAGTACACTGTATTATCGAAGTTTTACTTTCTACACAAACAATGTACGTATTAAACGTGTCGCAACATTTTCAACACCAATAGCTTTGCAAAGGAACCCGTCGGTCTTGAAACGTTGCGACACGTATAATACGTAGTGTTTGTGTAGAAAGTAAAACTTTGATATCACATATTTCCAAATTGATTAATCTTATTGAAGGTATTAGTACACTGTGTATATCGTCCTCTCAGCTAGTGTTGTTTTCATTTTTTGACATTCATTATTATTCGACGGAAAACTTTGAACTTGCGTTTTGCTTTTAAGCACGATTAATATGTATAAAACAAGAACATTTACATGGACTTTGCTTAAGGTTTGGTAATAACCTGTTGTTTTCAAAACGAAATTATGAACCATATGTTAATTTCAGGATAATATGCAACTTGATTAATATAGGTATCAAAGAAAATAACGACAGTATGATCCAATATTGGTAATAGATCCGAACAGGCAAACGTTCGTTGGATACTCAGCATTTAAATAGATGCATAAGCAAAGACATGATAACGACAAAGGATTTTGTCAAACGTTCAGGGCAACCCGCCCCATAATTTGGACACCAGACCATCAAATTCACAGCATAGGTCTCAGAGGAAAGAAAACCCTTATTTGACAATTGCTCCACACTCACCGAGTGAGAAGTGAGCAAAAATGTTTATTGCGAACCAAAGGAACCTCCATCAGTATCTCCATCCCTTCAATTGTCACCCATCACACACAACCATAAGTATCCCGTATTCCAAAGCACTGAGAGAATGATTGGTATCGTCTCGGATGATGATACCGTTTTACGCCACTGTACTGAGGTGAGATCTAACCTACTCTGCCTGGGATACAAATGAGCTCTGATAGATCATGGATTCGACAGATACAGCACAAGGAATTGGAAAGTCTGCTGAAATACCAAGTCAGACTCAAAACTGACAGAGTGACTTTTGTGGTTACCTGCCATCCTACCATGCCACCTCTCTCGGGTATATCTAAAACACACTGAAAGAATTTGACTTCGTCCAGTAAACTCAGAAAAATCTTTCTTGAAGTACAAGTGTTGGCTTACCGCCGACAAAAATTCTTAAAGACATAGTAGTCAACGATACGTTACCAAAGTATCCCCCAATGCTACCACTGGTCGTTTCAAAACACCGCTAACATATCAAAATGCGGAATCAACAGGCAGATCACTTGTGCTACGTGCTAATTGCAGAATGTTTAGAGACCAAAACACAATTTAATCTCAGGATCAACAACGAACGCTATTCCATCAAGCAGAAACGCCCGGACCTACCAGTAGCTACACATTTTAACATGCCGAGCAAGACAAAACATACAGACTGTTCCCCATGACCACTGCAGAAGTTGTAGTGACCAGCAGCGGTTGGAAGGGAACGACACTGGACAAATAATAAATCAAAAACAATCTGCCCAATATATATAAAACAGGTTCCGGCTAGCTCTGGGGCATTGTTATCTTTACAACAAACAAGATATGGTGCTTACCAGTTTGCACCAATTTAGTTATGGACAAGATCTTATCATCTATCTTACTTTAGCTAGTTGTGTAAGAAACAAACGCTCCCATACTCCTTTGGGGACTTGTGTGGGGGTCTTTTCCTACTCTACCTTTTACTATACCCTGCTATAACACCGTTAACATATTCCATTCTGCAAACCCTTTTTATACAATTTAGATGGCCTTCTTTATCCTTATATCATTTATTTATCTTCTACTTTTACTTATTGAAAGGATGTCTGTTTCACTGTTAATACCACATATTTGAGGCGGCTCGTGTGAAGGCCCTGTGGAGATGACCGACCTCTACTCATATCTGCTTTTAATTCGTTTAAATGCACCACCTTGCAAATTATTCTTACTTAATATAAAAATATGTATCCTCTCCATTCTATGTTTTATTTAATATCTATTTTTTCTTATCATGAAACTATCATTTGAGCGAGTTTTTGTGGTCGAAAATGTCTGTGACGAGGTGTTTCGGTTGAAGACATTGTCAGTACATATTTCTACCGCACATTTTTCATCTTTGACCCCCATTCATTACCTTGTCGAGTGGGAGTGACCCAGTCCAGATTTTTAACTTACAGAGACACCCTTTTTTGCATTTTTTTTCACGCCGTTTTGACAGGAACAACAACAGTTATAGATTTTCTCACTACATTTATTCTGATTTTTTATATTAGGAAGGGACGCTGTCTTTGTGAGGAATAATTAGATAGTATGACAGAGAGTCAACAAATAAATTGGATTATAAGAGGGTGAGTGTCAGAGTTGCGAGGATGTGAAATCAGAGATTGGCTAGAGAGGGTCCATGATTGTTTGTTTTTTGTTTTAAGATAGGGGGTGAAATTAAAATGAAGTGAAATGGTTTGATACATTTTGCATTTACAATGTCGGCAGTTTGGACGTGAGATTTTGGGAGAAATAATAATCGAGAATCGGTACAGAATCTTGAGTGTGTGGTACGAGTGTGCGATATGATAAGAATTAGTTTTCAAAAGTGTGCATATATTAAAATATTGACCTGTGTACTGACTGTATAGATATGTATGAACATGTGTATGAGTGCGCCGGGGCTTCACACTTATGGGGGGAGGTATTCTTTACAAAAATTATCCTTCTGTTGAAAGCTATCCGACAGGATATGCGATAACAGCAGCACATATCACAAGTTATAACTGTTTTTTGTTTATGTACTTGATGTTGTAGTATTGTTTCATATTGAATGTTTATCACGATTATATGTTGTAGTATGTAAGTGTTCACGTTTCTGTCTTGATAAAGGGACTGATTGCCCTAAAATGTGTTTGTCTGCTCTGTCGTTATTACTTCTTTGCTTATATAGTAAGCCAAACAATATGCTACCGTGTCTATGCGTCTGAAGATATAATACAGTGACAAACGTTTGTGCTAAATGGAGTGTCTGTTTTGTCAAAAACACATTTTGATATAATATACTTACGTTATGTCAATTTTATCACTTTTACACATAAGACACAGTGCAATTACGCCAGGTTAATCGTATCTTAAACCTTTGGATCAACATACACTAGTGTATATGTTACATTTTGTTTATTGAATGTATACACAGGTGACGAAGGGAGACAATTTTATGAATCTTGACCTGTCCGGGCCTCGAACCGACGAACTACAGCACCAAATCGCATAGCCTAGGAAAATCTGCAGTTTCCACCACTAAAGCACCCCACCTTCTTTAATGTCTCCCTTCCTTGTTATTTTTTGTTATTTTCACTCATGAATATAATATTATATTAATTTATTAATATGAACATGCTTGGTGTTGTACCGATATATCTCTCGTCATTGAGATAATATCAGGTATCGGTCAATTAGCTATAACACAAGTCGCCTAGTTTATTAAACTGTTCACTGTTGAAGAAATCATTTAATACAATGGTATTTTTTATGTTTAAGACCATTTGTCAAAGCCATGAAAGCAACCTCGTCAAAGTAGAAACCTTGGAAGAAAATTTGTGGCTGAAAACATTCGCGACGTTATCAGGTATTAAATATTACCATAAAACAATCAAATTTATACTAGTCATGATCCCGTTATAGCTTGAATTAGTTTTTTGTACTGTTTTACTTCATGAAGAAATTGTTCAAGTACTTTGTTGTACCTCTTGAATCAGATTCATCAGTAGATTTCGTAATAAACACATTGTCATATTTCTTGCCGATTTATTTCCACGTGTATGGATTTTGATATGTTGAAAAGATTATCCTTGGATTGGAGCAAATGACCGCGAGAAAGAAGGTGACTGGAGATGGATCTCGGACAACTCTACAGTGGAATTCTCAGACTGGGGACGCGCTGAGCCGTCTAATACCGGTGGTAACGAACATTGTGCTCAAATAATAACTCAATGGAATGACCAGGTCTGCACCATGCCATATGGAATCATTTGCGAGAAAGAAGGTTAGTTAATAGCCGTAATCATATACGAAACAAAACAAACTGACAATCATTCTAAACTTGATAAATCTGTTATGTAACAACTATCTGTATCGAATGATATACACATACTTCAGAGGTTTTGAAATTGTTTTCGATATTTTTATTTTCATTATGATATTAACATGCTACTGATAAGCAAAATCAATACTTTGCTCCTAGACAAAGCATTACTATTAGAAGTAACAACACATACAATATGATTTCGGGACTTGGTGCTATCTATGGTCGGTGGTGTTGGCCTTGTCCTTGAATAATGATAATGTTTGTGAATAAATACCAACAGTGTAAGATCACACAGATGTATCATGTAGCGATACAAGTGTGTTTAATGTTGTTGTTTTGTACGTCCTTTTGATGTTCATGTGAATGTGATGTGACCTGTCCTGAGCGTGAAGCCTCCATGTAAAGTGTATGTCACGTCTTGTATACAATGTGAATGTAAAAGTATGTTGTTACATGTCAAACCTGTTTTGTCATGAGACATGTGACGTTTACATGGTGAGAGGGGTGTGTGAGAAATGTCGGATCTTAACTCACGGTATCAGAAATCAGGTGAGATGAATCAGCGTCCATTATGACCCTTATGTTTTGACAGGTGGTATGATGAACAGACAAGGAAAGGTAAGCGTTATTCTGATGTAACAAGTTCTGTATATGGAATTATAGGTATATATATATTCGAATCATGTTCATTTCATAAATTAGTTCATTTAAAGAAAAGCAATATAAGTATAAAATATATAAATATAAATAATCTACTCCTAGACAAAGCATTACTATTGTCACGTCTAGCATACAAATGTGAATGTAAATTATGATGTTACATGTCAAACCTGTTTTGCCATATGGCATCTGACATAGTCCCGGTGAGAGGGGTTTGTGAGAAATGTCATACCTTAACTCGTGGTATCAGAAAGCAGGTGTCGGTACCAGATGAATCAGCGTCCATAACGAGTCTTATGTCTTTACTGGTTGTTAACTGAACAGACAAGCAAAGGTAAGCGTTATTCTAACGTAAACAGTTCTGTATATTGAATTATAGGTATATATATATATGACATTTCGTTCCTTCCTTATTTCGCGTTATCCGGAACAATAAGTATCGTCCCGTCGCCTTCGTGTCATTAAGGGCGAATTTCGTCGTCTGCATTTCTTCTTATTTTTGTTCTTTCACCTTTGTGTTTTGAGAGGCGATGGAATGAAACTACGATAGATATCATCACTTTGTCACGCAAGGACGATAATTAGCCTGCCTACGCCCTCGCGTTTAGCCATAATTGAATGTACTAGTTTGTGACCTTTATGTTACTCAGTTCCTGATGTTTGTTTTGGTAGGATGGAGATACTGGTGACTAATTACGGTTGTTTGATAACCCGAGTCCCGCTTGATTGAAATACTATTCCTACCAAGAGGACTTGCAAAGAGATATCAGTAGCAAGGTAAAAGATTTCATCTAAAGTGCTTTCATTCACAGAAGTCGATATTACTTACGTTCACTACGCTATGTGCTATCGAATACATGTACCAGGTATTATATACATACTTCGACATGAAAAGCATCAATAAGACAAATACATTTGATCAACGCTAACACTTTTAATGGTTATGACTATCTTCCTGTGGTAACGTTTAATGTCTAGGTTACTGCTGCAATAAATTGTCGGTAATACTGTCAATTGCTGGTTTCATATCGTGTGTCTATACATATTCACGTTTGAATATTTACTATTCAATTTGGAAAAAAATATGCATTTATTATTAGCGAAAAATTGACGTTACAGTATCCTGTTTATTTTTAACATGCACTTTTTTATTTCAGAAATCACGAAAAGTTCAGTGGATTAGAAGAGTTGGATGTGCTTTATCTACAGGGATCTAAACTGCCTGCTAAAAAACACCGATAGCAGCGAGTGTACTATTTAACTACAGATTGTCTGTTTTGTGTGCTATGAACCATATTGTCCGCCAGTTACCAGACATGACGACATTTTGCAGATTATTTGGAATTGTTTATATGATAAACCTCCGAAACTTATATTGACTGTGGCCTCACTGGTAGTCGTCCTCGAGGAGGGAAAATTGGCTTGCTTAACTGTCCTTCGAAACAACGGTCACAAACCAACCTTTCATGTTTTCTTCAGATTGTTTATTTTGCAAATATTTCACGGTCAATATATAATATTCAAATGCATTTTTGTATACTTATTAGTTGTCATAAAGGTATACTATATATATACATTTATATATAATACATACTAGTCATCTATTCGCGCCGGTTCAGTGAAAACTCGAGACTACTCTGCACTTGCCTTTGAACACAGGTTTCCGGAGACTCCGGTTTTTCCTGGGCGGCGGTTTTAGTCGATGACAGTGTACAGAGATAATTAAGACTAGGTAACTCACAAAGGGAGTTACACCCCTGTCTGATTAAGACGATGTAGGCTGTATAACCTCAGAAATGTGTTATCAGATTTGCATTTCATATTAAACCTCAGAAATGTGTTGTTACATGCTGAATGCAATTAACATAGTTTATAGAATAAATTGGACACGTCAGTGAATGCAGCTGATATATATTTGTTGTTTTGAGTGCTATTTTAGTGGGGAAAAGATGCATATATTTTAAATAACAAGTAATTTCTTTTAAAAAGAGTATTTCTTAAAAAAGATGTTTGAGTCGTAAAGATTTACATATATTTTCAACAAATTCATTTTAAGATTATGCACTCCTTGGGTTAAAACAGACCCAATCTATAGTCCTTATTACTGACTCACATTCAATATGACTATAAATACAGAGTGCATGTTTGTTCCAAACCATTGATATTGTTAATGACTGCCAGATTACAACTGGAGTCATTTGCTTACAATCCTATTTTGAGACATTTATTTCTAATTAAAGTGGATGCTACATATTATCCACTTGTGAACGTGTAAAAAAGAATTTCATTATACTTAAAGAGCCGGGCGAACATTATGTTCATATATTATGCATATTTGTATGCAAATGATATAACGGAAAAGAAAAATGATACAATCTTCATTGAGTAAACCCCTGACTCCCTGGAAAAAGAATTTTGGTGCTTACAAAAATATGGTGAATAAAAGATAAAAGCAGCAAATTAAGCAATGAATATAAAAATCTGTCAAATTCAAATCCAAATTGTTTTATCAATGTATGGCATATATAGGAGGATGCAGTACATCATATATAAACATATATATTTAAGTCGCAGTAGATGGGAAACGATAATATATGATTTTCTTGATGATGTGTTGACGACTCGACCAAGCTAATTTCAAAAGTCGAAGGTCGATAGCAGAAATATGCCACCAACTATTTCAGGTGTCAGCGTTTCAGTTGATAAACGGAATGGAATTTAGAGACGTATAATTGTTTGTGGAAAGGTTCGCCTAGTGATCTCGGTAAGCTGTTTGTGGTTAAAATAATAATGAACGTACCTCCACTTGAAGAGTTCACAAAGCATCCAATACTTATTAGGGTGGTATATATTATTATTTCAATGTACACATCAGTACTTATTAACCCTTGGAGAAAAAATCCAGGTATCTGATTGGTTAAAAACTACAGTGTACCAAACCGCATTCGTAAATCTCAGGGGGTATACGAAAATCTCAGGGGGTATACGGTCATGTCACGTGTTTCTCAGCTGTAATAAGGTGAAATCACGTGATTTTACAAGGGGTATACGGGTCAGGTCTCTTTGTATATTGCGGCCGGGCATCGGGAGACAACTCGCATTCGTCGTCTGCTTCGCTATTTCCAAAATGGCAAAACGTTTCGCTTCGTATACTGATGAGGAAATACTCGCAAAAGGGCTAACTATGTGCCACAAAACACACAAAAGTCGAACAGACGAGCAGCAAACATGCGGAGTATGTATTTAAAAGAAAAGAATCAGGAAGAATTACAGTTCGAGGAATTTGATAAAACGAAACTAAATGAGGTAGGCCTACTGTGCCTATAATTTTTCTTTGTTTTTATTACTGTATAAAAGACTCAAAGGGGTAATAAATTCGTTACACGGATTTTTGGCAGGGTATACGGGATGGTATGACCCTAAAGGATTTCGTATTTCCTTCGGCCTATCGGCCTCAGGAAATACGAAACCCTTTAGGGTCATATCATTCCGTATACCCTGCCAAAAATCCGTGTAACTAATAATAGCTATGATTCCCATTTATTATTCACATTGTATTAACCAACTAACGATACTCTAAGACGGACGATGTCCGGATCTTTGGCGAGGTACGAACAAATAAGATATATCGCCGAGGTACGGGCAAATAGAATGTATCATGATGAGCAGCTCGCTAACCACTGCGTGCATGCGTATTTGTTATAAGCTTTCGTACAGAGGTGCTGGATAAAGTACATATATGTGCAGCACATATCAATGCGTACGTTCTTAAGCTGAAACAATCTTTTGGTCACATATTGCTCTATAACATTAATAGTATATAGCATTGACACATACAACTATGATGGAAGAGCCGGACAAAATGAATTTGATTTTTTTAAAATCTTTGTGTACCATGATACATCTTTCATTGGTACACGATGGTATGAAAAATATACCATTGTGTATCACGGTTAGTACAAATGATATGAGGGGAAAGCTGTTGTCAAACCTTTGCTTTTGTTTGTTTTTTTGTACCAATGCAGTTGCCGAAAAGAGCCATGGCACAAAAACATATGAAACCGCCTCTGAAATGAGAATAAAAAACATAATTAACACAAAACTCCTATGGGCTCGATGTAGGGACCAATTGATTTAATACAATGTACAATTAAAGGATAAAAAGATTACTATTTTTATACTATACTATTTTGCATTTTATTTTGGATTATAAAATGATTCTTTATAAGCATCAATACCAAAATGGAATACAGTAGAAATATCGAAAGTAAACAAACTTCCTTTTTACCCTATGTAAGAAAGCCAAGTTAGGACCAAAGCATTCGCAGAAATGTAACAAACTCTTTCATCAGAAGTTATTAACGCATTCCGATTGTTGTTTTGGCATTGTCATTAGGTATTTTATTTGCGATGGTCATTTCTGGTCACGGTGTCTGATAACGGCATTCCGAGGCTTTCATATGTTCTGTACCAATCTTTCTGTACCATTTTTAAGGGTTTAGAATGACATGAAAGCAACAAGCTTTTATATCTTTGTGTACCATATCTCAGTCCAGAATTAAATGAAAGTGATGAGCTTTCATATCATTTTGCCGGGTTTTGTCTGCTGTGAGTACATATTCATGTAAAAGTATATGAGATTTAAAAAAAAATATCTTTTTGTACCACGGTGTGGTTGACAAAGACATTATCATTCATATCTTTGTGTGCCACGGTTCACTTTTATGTGGTACACAATGATATGAAATATCAATTTATTTTGTCCGGCTCCTGTCGACCATCGTATAAAACACACAGGAAAGGAAGTTTTGTACAGTTATGTTAAAGCCTTAATAAAATATAACGAGCAGCAAATACAGATGGATATGCAAGGTGTACACCACCAGTTTGTTTGTTAAATAGGAAGTTACACGATTATGGCTGGTGCTGGACAGATATGGATTGATCAACCCATAGGACGGAAAAGTATATGATAAATAACATGACAGTACCAACATTGTTTATCGTTAGGAATCTGATAAGGAATATCTGATAACCTTAATGGTATTTATATTTGAAAGTCAATTCATTTTTTTAACGCTTTCTCACAAAGACAAACACTGACAGATATTAAAGTTATGTCACCTAGCTTATGTAGAGTTTTGACTGGCGAAATGATTGACACCTATGAAGCGAGTTAAATGAATAAACATTAATATGTGTTTGTTCAGTGGAGCGAACTTACTTTAAATCCTCAGCCAAACCATACAACTAGCTACCCCATGGAAAGATCCCTTTACAATTACTAATTTGAATGTTAGGGTTCTTCGTCGGAAGCTTTAGAATTCAAATACAGGTGGTCATTCATCTTTTCTTCCTGATGAAAATATCTTTGCTATTTGTCCATTAAACGTATAAAAGATTGAAACTACATTAGTTAAACACCAGGCTATGCGTGAGTCTATAGAATACCAGGCACACGTCAACATAGTGGTACACATTAGATTAATTCTGTAAACATGTAAACATGTAAACAAAGTTAAGGGCATTATCGTATTAGCGCATTAGCAATATGCATGAGCCAAGAGCAATAGAAAACAATTTAAAGCTAATATATCTCATCGAAATCTTTATTTTAAAATATATAGTCTGTTTGAAAACCAAATACAACAAAGAAATTTTCAACCATAACTCAATTATTCGCAGGATATTCTCAGTATATCTCATCTGATCTTGTGTAGTAATTGTTCAAAAATCAATATATTCTTTTTAGTTTTTTGCAATACAAAATATTGCAAATACAGTTGTGTGACCGCACAACGCAACAAAAATACCGTGCGCACACTGTACTTAAATCGTTCACACACCGTCCGCACATCGTCCATACATGGTGCGCACAACTGGGAAATTTATCAATCGTTCGCCCCGTCGTGCGCTTCTCTCCGCACAACTATGCGATTTGGTAAAATGTGTTGATCAATATTACGGAATGAAAAAAATACGGAAGGGCTTGTATGCAATATTGTACACTGTATTTATTACTGTAATTTCTCATCACAATAATTAAGATTATGTACAATTTTACAATGCATATAACACAGTATACAGTGACCGTTATACTTTCCAAAAATTTGGCTCCTAGCTAGGTAGCAGAACAGGTAAATAACAATTTGAATGATTGACTGGATGTTTACCTGGCCTGTTCCTGACACATAGAGCTGCTATGTGATACCGTATGACCGTTATGAAAACACGACTGGACGTTTAGTATTTGTCATTTGCATTCGTTTTGATCTATAGCTCCCCTTAACCTGGTTTTCACACCTTGGCGAGTTACGTAAGAACCCTACGGTCCAGGTACAAAGTGGCTATGTTTACCTGTGTTGGCGAGACTGTGTTGTAATTTTACATGTGTCGATTAAGGTCGTTCAAAAAACAACGAAAACACCAATTTCTAAAATTAAGAAAGTATAGACAGAAAGATAAGCTTATAGTTGAAACTAGAAACATACTAAAAATCAAGTTTATATGTTTAAATTCTAAACCGTATACATTGTTAAGCCATTCCTCAATTTACACCAACCACGATTGTTATCGCACAACATTTGTCGGTCGTCCACACAAATGTGCGCAAGCAATGATTGTCCAATTTTTTATCGTTTGCACTTCGTGCATACATCGTTCACACACCGAGCACACATCGTGCGCACAACGCAGATCGAGTAACGTTGTGCGATCTCACAACTGTAGTAGCATTAACCTTCATGGATCATTGTATAGTATCAGTACCTAACTGTATTACATTTAAACTTATTTAGTTATATTATCATACATCGATGCATTGTATATTAACATTACCTTACCTTACTAAGCTTATCGGGACCTTATATAGAAGTAATTAACGTAAATCATAGGGACTTGCATTATATGGGT